TATAAACTATATTATCCTTAGCACACAATGTGTAATAACTAGAAAACTACTCTTTCAAATTTTGTTTTTAATACATCAAAATTCTCAAAACAATTATCCGCAAAATAATTTACAGTAAAAAAGTGGGGTTCCCATTTGAAAAACAAAAATTTGGATCGCCACAGGACACTCCTTAAGTGGTACAAAAAAATCTCAAGAATATGAAAATATGGTCTTTGAGTGTATTTAAAGATTCCAAAAACCAGATTTTGAAAAACTTCATTATTAAAGAAAAAAAGGGGTAGCATACTTGTTGGATCACCCTGTATATTTAACTTGTGCCAGCTAAATGAAATGACTTTATTATTACATATTATATTAGGTCGTTATGTGGTTTTTTTTTAAAGATAAAAAATCAAATCTGTACCATATAATATAATATATGATATTAAATATATCTTCTTTATTCCATTAAAAAATAAACTTAAAATAATAATAATAATAAGCGTATGACAATACATAATAGGCGTATTATATAGGCGTGTATGATGTATGTAAATACTTTTGAAAACCGACTTATATTGGGGCTCGTACCTATTACACAATTTTTATTAGGTAGGTATACCAATACGTATTTTAATATTTTTATTTTTATTATTTCATAAACATGTCAGTGTGATTGAGACGTCGAGTGATGTCCGTGTTCACATGAATCAATATTATCATATATAATATAGGTAATACATAAACATATGAATGATGAGTTTGTTATTTACTATTTAGACATGGATATTGGATATATAGTGGCTTATATTATAATATAATATTATATAGTTAAATATTTGAACCAACGAATGAAAATTAAATCAAATAGATTTTTATTATAATATTCGATATTGCAGGTACTTTATACATAGGCTATATAGGTACATACATAACTGAAATTCTAAAAAGATAAACTATAAAAGGTAGGTATAACTTTTAATAGTATAATCCATGCGTTGGTTATTATTTACGTATCGTCTGTTTACCTCGCAAATATATAACTATACAGTTATAATATGGTTATCTATACACCTATGCCAAAATATCACACAGCATATTGTCATATTGATTGCGCATTAGCAGCCGATTATCATTTATCGCTTGCGCATTGTCTGTTTACCGGCGTCAAATTATTGAATATCATTTGCACATAAACATAATAGCCAATAGGTAGGTATACTGAACAATAGAAGGCTATAAAACATGGTTAATTTCCATACAATTCTGGTTGGAAATTTAACTTGAGAGGTAAAAATTAAAATTTCCTAGTAATATTCACATAAACACAGTTTTTTTTTTTCGTTTTGAGTTCAAAGATAGAAGAATTTGATATAAAAATTAAGAATTACAGTTTTAAATTTAGTATATTCCAATTAAAAATATTATTCGTGGGTACTTGAAACTTTGAAGTATATTACCTATTATATTATATTATACACACAATGACTTTTCCAAATGCAATATTTTCGGAAAATATGAATTCAGCCTCCTGTTTGTCTGTATATCTAATAGTAAAATTAATAATGACTGTAATTCAGTTTAATATCATAAAATATACTCAGTAATATAGGGTGACACATCATCTACACTCAGCATCATTTTTCATGTAGATGCAATTAAAATTTAACATATAATCGGCGATAACCCATTACTCCATGATTACGGTGACCACAACAGCTAGGCATCAACTTGCACTTGCCCACCTTTTTTCCAATTGCTTCTTTCAGCTTCAAATGGTGAATACTGCACTCGTTCTCCCAAAAAATATATAATATTTGTCATATTTTCCCAGCTATTGAGCAAAATGGCGAATGTGGTATACCCGTCTTTTGTTCGTTGTCTTAAGACAACAAACAAAACCTGGGATTTGAAAACATAAAAAAATCAAGTAACATCAAAAACTTTCTATACAACTTTGAAACTGTAAAATTAAATATAAAGTAATATATATATTTGGGACCTAAAAAAAAAAATAATTTCTATAACGCTCCTGAGCTTTTTGTCTCAATTTTCTTCAACATGCACCAGCGCTTATTAGTTACTTATACCTTAGGGCTTAGAGTAACATTCAACCATCTTATGCGTGTTGAGAAATGCTGCTATTGGTATTTGGTAATAACTGTGAGAAATACTGAATTCGTCATCTTCAACAATCCCCAAATCCCATTTATCAACTTACCATGTCTTCCCCTACATATAGTCGGAATCAATAATGAATATATAGATTGGATTATTGGAATATTGTAAAACCATATTTGGTACCTATATGGCTATATTGTATAATTTGTAATGTCTTACACTTCTTACTTCTTACAGGACGTAACAGAAAAACCTGACAAATGAAAAATGAAAGATGAATACTAGTTAAAAGTATAACAAAATTATGAAAATTAGAATAGGGATAATAAATAATTTAAGATTTATATTTATGTCTAAGAATACTTGTGGAAAAGTAATTACTTTATATAAATTAATTTTCTCTACAAAAAAATATTGATATTTAAAAAATTGTTAAAAATAAGCTCCTTGGTTTTATATAAAAGTTTTTACCATCAAAATTGTTCTAAAAGCTAGTATATATACGAATTGTTTATTTTTAAATTTTTCCAAACAAAAATGTTGAAGTTTTACCTAAAAAATAAATGAGAAACAATATTTACATTACTTAAAGCGCAATCGTCTTTAAAATCTTTAAAATATCTTTTAAAAACTTGTATTGATTAAATCAAGAAAGTAATTTAATTTGTTAGGTTGACCTGTAGAATGTATGTATCTCATGTATCTAATCTTTTCCAGTCCTCTTGTTATATAGATTACACGTAATATTATGCTGATGCTCAAAGGATGCATAGGTAACCCAAAAACCGAACAATGCGCTACCTTAACGTCCTAACCAAACCGAAATTAACAATAGCGCTGCATAAGAGATATACCACGACATTCCAAGACGCTACAAGACGACTGGGGCTCATTTTTGGGTGTGAATGTGTGATTAGGTATGTATTTAACTAGTAGCAAAAACATTTGAAGACTTGAAGTAATAATTTCAGAGCATCATCTAATATTACCAAAACTTGACATAAATACACTGAGCAGGTGAAGTATTTTAGTAGGTACATTTTTACTTATGATTTTTTTATTGAAACTTGTTCATCATTTGTATTAGATTTTCACCACCTAAAAGTCACAAACGTTGTAACATTTTTCATTTTCCTTGCCACACACATATGCTGTTTAAATAAGTACACAACTACAACTTGTTTCAGTATAGCAGCTGGAGTGGTTAGTTCTTTGTTGGACAAAGAAAGGGTTAGTTGTATAAAATCAAGAATCCCATAAAATAATGCCCCATTTTCATTTAAAAATAAATTTAATTTAGATTAGATTAATTTTTTTTGAAAATCTACATCTATATGAGATACAATACTTAATAATTTAGTATACATATGAGTATGAGTTATGTAAGTACATTTTATTAAAGCCGGGATATAGCTGTAAGGGATGACTAAACTTGTCATATGTTACTGGCAAGGTTATCAATGCTTTGCGCAAATATTTGTTGGCACCATCGTTATTAAAACAAATAAAAATTACAAAATCACGTGGTAGCCATACTGGCAAATGGAAAAATTGATCCTAATTTTGTATCAGAGAAGAAAACGGATACTCTAAAGACTATAGTCTATAATGTTGTTTCAATGATAATACATTTTTAATCTAAGAGTATTTGCTTTGCGAATTGATTATTGTCTCTGATCATCATGCATGATGTGTATACACGTGTATGTGTTCATTGTTATACATAATGTCACACCCAATTATTCTGAAAAGACGCTACTGATCAGAGATCCACGAATAATTACGAGAGTGATACTATATTCAATACCTATTAAACAATAAATATTATTAGCATTGATCAAGCATACGGCCTATAAGTGAAATGAACCAATAAACGTGGGTAATTAGTAATTATTAATTAATATAGCTGTGGCCTTTGACACTGTGTGTCTGAAATTGTGATTACTCTGCTACGTTTTACTAACGTGAAGCATAAAAAATTTAATGTTGAGACGAATTCATTTTACTCTAATATTTTGAACATTTAAGTGAATAGACCAATTATCAAATTTAACAGTAAGAATATTGTCCAGGACCCCCGAAGACATATTTTGATATTTTAATTTTAGACCAATTTATCATGAATTTCAAACCTGGCGAAAAATGTATAGTTTATAAAAGCTCATAACTAACTTTAAAATTAAAATATCATAAAATGCGGAATGCCTATACGTGATGCCCTGGGTTAGTTTACCTTTAAATTTGATAACAATTCTATTCACACTACTATTCAAAAATAAAGGAGTAAAATGAATTTTTCTGAACGTGAAACCGGCTGTAATTTAGGCATTGGTAAGACGTAGACGACACAGTGTACGGTGCGAGTGTACATCTTCTTAATCAATGGTTATTTATTAGTCTTATTACTTATTAGTTATTACTTATCAATTATCATATTCTTAATTGTTCGGTGGTATCTGTATTTAAATATCATATTGATTCGCGGTAATATTATAATCGCAGAATCTATAGAATACTAGTATTAAATCTCATGGAAACATCCATTTAACATTTTTAAATTGCGATAACAAAATATAATAATAAATACGTTTAAATCTATAATATAATAATTTACGGTATTACGGTAATACAGCATCCAGAGGTTACTAAATCATAGACACAGTCTACGGCCTATATAAAATATTATACTATATTGATATGTCCATAAATATAATTATATAAATAATATTCTGTAAATAAAAATATTTTAAAGACGTTTCCACAAGAATAATATTGTCTACAACGAACTAACCGTCTACCGGCCTAACCTGTACGGTAGAGACTAAACCACTAAACACGGCGACGGCGTAGCGTTTTCGCTATTATTCTTATCTGTCTTGGTATCCACTCGTTCCTTATCAAAAACGAAATATATTATATTGTGTAAAACCGTAAACTCTGAAGTGAGTAAGTGACTGAACCACTGAAGTGTGATTTGTGAAAAAAATGTTCGTGTGTATGTAGCTGTATATGTTAATTCAATTATATTCGATTGAAACATTATCGTTAATTCAACCACGACTTCGAAATCGGCCGGTAAAACGATATCAGGACGATTTCAAAATGAACCCAGACGAAAACGAAGAAGATACCAAATATTGTTTCAACTGGTAAGTTTTATTACCATAATTATAACCGTCTATTAGACTATTTTGATTTTCAGCTTCATAGTATGTGTGTGTAGACACAAACCTGAAATAGCAATTGGTTTTGTTTTATTTTAGTCTTAACATATGTCTACTACACGTTACAATTTTGACTGCGTTCTTAACAGTCGGTATCATGATTATTTTATGCATGATCGTTCTGTTAACATAATATTGATACACTATACTTTCATCCACTTCCAATCGTATTGAAACTAAACAAAAATGTTTGTATTCCATTGTTAATTTACAACTTCCCTTTATCCTTACCATGCAAATTATCAATTATTATTCCTACAAATATTGTGGACTATGCACTACATATTTATTTAAAATTTTGATTCTTAGTACCCGGGTAATGCAGATAGTTACAAATTATTATTATTTGTTTCTTTTAATGAGTGATATTGATATCTATATCACTATGACATTTAATTCAAAATGCAAATACTAAAGTTAAATATACTTAGTATAATTCAAAATTATTGATGTTTCAAGAGCTCATATTAATCTGACAATAATCCGTTTGAATATTATCATTGAATTCCGATTCTATGTTGAGCTTTTAATTAGTTATATGGCCAATTTTTTCATATAGGTACTTATTGACATATAGCATACCTGACTTAATATTATGGGTAAGAGGGTAGAATTAAAAGCTCTGAATTAAATTTGTAAAATGTACTAATATAAAATGTCTAAAAACTGTATGAATACAAATTAAATGGATTGTATCAAAATTCTTAAGTACCATAATAAAATAATTTTACCCATTGTCTCTAGCCACTATGGCACTATTACATTTTGCTGTTTGGATTTTTGCTTGGTACCTACTTAAATAGTTACCATATTTGGTAATAAAGGACTAGTATTCATTTTACAGTAAACTGGATGATAATTTTTATAAGAGAAAAAAACTATTTAATATTTAAATATAATTCATAAATAATATAAACAACAAAGTATTTTTTTTGTAGAGTGAAACACATTTATTGATCAAGAGCAATGCTTCAGGCATACTAAAATATGTTGTATTTACCTAGTACAGAGGTATTTAAACTTTTATATGTTATGGCTCCTTTGGGTCTTCACAATATTTTGATATCTCCCAATTTATTGACAACTTTTTAATCAAAGCGACAGTCAACAGATACAGTACGAACAATAATTTTAATGATTAGTACTATTGAAATAAAACTTTGCATTTCCATAATCATTTTAATGATTAAAAATAATATTTCTATGTTATATTCATTTTCAATTCTAGTTCTTTGATGCTGCTCCCTTAGCCAACTACCGCAACTTATACCTTTGACCTAGTATATTCTTATCCCCTCTACAAATTTGACAAGTGTAGACAAATTTTAAAAATATTGGGTGTAGGAAAGATAACTTTAAAATGTATAATATAAAAAAAAAATTTTGGTATGTTCAGTTCCTTATCATAATCTGCTTTACTTACCATTGATTTTATATTGTGCACACTACAAAATATGAATTTTTGTGATAAAATGACTATACATTTTTAAGTTGTAATAACACATGCAAATTACTGAATGCAAGTACTATTCTCTTATACATTCAAGATTGCCAGTACTCAAGTACTGCAAACGAGTGTTTTAGATGATCCATTCTATATTGATATGTTATAATATTGTGGTATTGTACGATAGTGCACTTACACCTCCTAATATTTACTCAGATTATATTTATTTTTTTCATTTCATTTCCTGTTAAGATTATACTGTATTAAATTTGGAATCATTGAATTAACATAGTAATTTGATAAAAATCATAACAAAGTGAATAATACTTTGATCAATAACAAAATGATAATTGGATTTATATTGTTTGATTATGCCTCAAACTGTTTTTATTTAAAATGTGTGAACCACAACTTATTCAGTATTCTTATTATAATAAATAAATTTAGATAGGTAAATAGAAAAAATTGATTTACTTAGTTATCAGCATTTTTGTTGCCAAAAGTATTTATAATTCTGAAAAACTGACGAGTTTTTTACTGTTAATCATGAATATTTCTGTATACACTTATCTAATTATGATTTATTAGATATAGTACCTATATTTATTTTTTAAGCAGTGTAATTTTGAACTGTTAGTTTGAATAAAATTACTCCTTTAAGTATTGTAGTTTTTTTTGCAATGGATTTTAAAACATTCTTATACTTTAGTTTTGTTTATTCTATTCTTTCCAATGATCTGTACTCTGTACTCTGTACTGTGCTGAACATCAAGATTTTCCTTATATATCATATCACATCACACAAAATAGTTCCAAAGAAAATATAACTGACAAAAATATCAATATTTTATTGGGCAAACTGTATGGAGGTAGATTTTTCTGATGCATTATTTGGAGATAAATTGTGAAACTATATATTTTATGGTCATATACACCAAGTGCTACCCACAAATCGCAGTATTGCTTTTTAAAACTATTATTACAGATTTTGTAAAGTTTCAACAATACATACATTTATAAAATGTACACATATAGGTATATTATAGGTGTATTCAACTATTGTATATATTATCAATATGATCAGTGGCATTTATCGAAAAAAAAAAAATTGATGTTGATCTAAGAATTGTTGGTGATCTACCCTTAATAATATTATTGTACCTACCGATAAAATATCCTATTATCCTTCTTCCAATACCCACACACCCATGTTTAAAATGTTGTCTGAGGAACACTTGGACCCTGTGTTACATGCCACTGAATCTGATGTTCATTGACATAAGTATCATGCTCCTGGTAACTATGTCGTTAAATATTTTATAATCACAAAGTATGTTATGATTGTTTTAGCCGAAGAAATATTCCACTCATTAACCATGTAATGCACACTGCATACTGTCACCGTAACCTGAAGCTTTGCATGAAATGTGACGAACCGTTCCTAACTTCAGAGTTTGAAGAGCATCAAAAAACTATGCACTCAGTTATTTTATGCGATGCCTGTTCTGAAAAACTTGAAGCAATGGATTTAGAATCACATAAAGTATGTTCTTTTTTTATCTTAGAAATTCTGTTATTAATATTATATGCTACATTATTTAGTTAAACGATTGTCGTCACCGTATGCAAACTTGTAACTATTGTGAGATTGATGTAGAAGCTTGCTTGTTACCTGCACATACAGATATGTGCAGTAGTCGTACAGAACGATGTTATAGTTGTGGACAATTTATCATGCTTAAGTTTTTGGCTGTACATCAGGAAACTCATGAACGCAAAGAATTACTTAATGGTAAAAGGAAACATTGTGTTGTATTGGATGTTTGAATTTTATATTAACTATAAATCTGACTGTAGGTGCTAAACCAGTAGTAGACAATAGTCTAAGCAGTTTAGCAGCATATCCGCCATTAATAAAAAAAGTGCCAAACATTGCAGTAACTGCAAGACCAACAACAAGAACTACTAGCATGCCCACATTGAGACTACACGAATCAACCACAACCAATCACAGGGTAATGCCACCAGTCAAACGCAACAACGATCAACCTCAAATTAATACAAATAGCAGTAATGATAATACGCACAAAGATCCAAAAAAGAATATGCCGATCGTAGATACGCCAAGTGGTAATAATTTCTTTAATTTGTCAGTAATAATTAAAAAAAATATATTATTCTTTTAAGCACAGAATAGATTCTAGTCTGTGATTAAAGTACTAAACATTTTGATAAACAATTTTTTTTCAAGTGTTTCATTAACAAAACATAACAACTGTTTTTTCTAGCATATCATTTATATTTTCAAAAATTCATATTATTAATTTTATTTATTGGTTGCAATTTAAACAAATGTTTAATCTGTATTTATCTTGGCATTCGTGTAGCAGGTGATCTACTGCAGTAGAGTAATCTGCTAATTTAGGACGAGTGATGTATGTAAAAAACTGAAAAAAAATTTTTTAACTGTATAAAAACACATAATATTTTTTATTGCGTATTATCATACAAATATTCTTCAAATATAAAAAAAGAAAAAAGAATTTGTCAAATATAATACAAATTTCAATTACAGTAAACATTTTTAGTATCATTTAAAAATTTTAAAAAAGTATCTTGAACATTAACTGATCTTCAATCAGATGACGATGTAATAGTTCTTTTGAACTAGTTCATTGCATTTCGCAAAACTATCGTAAACAGACTTACATATGTGTTAGATACAACAAACTACGACCACCCAATTATGATTTTTCTTGACAATTTTACATTTATTATTTATAAAAATAAAATTAAAACATAATATGCCCAATATGCTAAAAATTGCATTTCTTAAAATATGACAAAATATTATGCAAAAATATACAAATTCAAACTTAGTATTTAATTTCACTATTACATAAAACAAATTTATATCTCTCCTAGAATAATATAATATAATATAATAATAGGTAATAATAATTGTAGATCACCTGCTACACGAATGCCTTTATCTTTGTCGTTTCTTATTATGTAACTGATTTGGTTAGCACTGGTTTTACATATATATTATATATGCTTTATTTTTAACTATTCATTTAAATTATTAGAACTGGAACTGTTTTTTCTTACTAGATCTAGATGATGACGATGAAGATGAATTTCCTACACTTGGTGCTTATTCAATTTCTAATAACCATTCTGCAAATATCAATAACCATTTAACAAATGAATACAACAATTATTCCGATACACTCGATAGTGTAAAACTACCATGCGAGTTTTGCCTGGAAATGATTGACTCTGAAAATCTTGTTTTGCATGAAGTAAGTCACATTATAATGTTATTTGTTTGCTGAAAGTAATTATTTCTCGACTGATGTTTTGTAGACTGGATGCCGTCCAGATTTAGCAACATTTCATAATGTTTTGCAAACAAATAATAAAAATACGAACAGCGAGAATGGTGTGTTTCCAATACCACCTCATGATTTAGACACCTCCAGCAGCAGTGGTGATAGTGAGCTCAATTTAAATACATTGAGCTTAAGTTCTGAAGATGAAGATGATAGTGAAAAAATCAATGTTGAAAAATTGCCTTGCGAATTCTGCGAAAAATTAATATCCATTAAGAAGTTTTTAAACCATCAAGTAATTATTTTATTGCAATTATATATTTTAATGAGACGTTGTAGTAATTCTATATTTTGCTAACTCTTAAATTATCATATGTAATCCAATAAGCTAATTTGCTCAATGAGCTCCAATTCAAATTTTCATATTAATGTAATGGTTTTTTCTAGTGGAAATGTGAAAAACTACATTTGGATTTACCTGTGATAAATAATTTTAATAAAGATGTGTATCCGCAACCTATTATGAATACAAAGTTCCCAAAATCTGTAAACATACTTGAAACTCAACGTAATCTATTCAAAACAACAACTGGTAATATATTATTACACCTCATTGATATGATATGATTTAGTATAATCTCAGTAACCCTAATCATATAGGATTATCTATCTATTAACAATTATTTATTAGAAATTGAATAGTTCAATAAAATAAACATCCTTAAAGTCTCAAAGATGGTCATTGGAGGTTTCCTTTTCTGAATGGGATAGTTCCATTTTAGCTACTATTTAAATGCCGATTAACAGTCAGATTATAGAGATTACACTTTATCAGTTTTGTACAATTTTATTATGTACGCATACTTACATGTCCAGTATCTTGAGATCTTTATTTTAACTCTTTTTCAGCCCCATCTAATCTATCTGGTAGAACATTAACATTGAGGAACTCTGAAGCTAATGCTCAATCTCCAGCATCAACATATGATCCACAAACGAGACAGATACTACCACGGGTCAAATTAAATAGACAAAATCCAAGTAGACCAAACATACCCATGGATAATCGTTATGTGAACAACTCTGCTCGGAACAACTATGTTCAGTTTATATCCAAGTAAGTTGTTATAATCTAATCTAAAAATAATAGTTTCAAAAACGTTATAATAATATTATTATAATTGAATTAATAAAATAATCTTAATGACTTTATTTGAATATGACTCATTTGTATTAATAAGCTGTCCATTAGAAGTTATGATGTAATTATAATTATTAAATAGAAAAGAAATAATTAACTGACCTTGTTTGACTAATATTCTTGTGCTTTAATTTAAATGCCTTTTTGGCGGTAAATAATGTTGAAGATTTTTTAAATTGAATTACAATGTATAAATGATGATATTTACGTAAATTAAATATTGGTACTTTCCTGTTATATGAGACTGCCCTGTTTTTTTGACAACATCGCAATCCTGTTATCTAAGAACACCAAAATGATACTTTCCTGTTATACGAGACTTCGGCTATTATCGCGACTACCACAATATAGCTGAGCGATATTCATAAGCTGCAAAAATATTTATTAGGTATATTATATCTATCATTACCTATATTATTAGTTTTAATAATTGGTGTTATCTTTATATTACCTTTTTAAATGTTTTTGCTCTAGCCATCACGTCTGTCTTGTGTTTGAGCACAGTCCTTTTCCATTTGTTACTGTATTATGGTTTATTTTTGCTTAGAGTCAAGATTTAACTTCAATAAAATGGCGTGAACAAAATTTGAAAATAAATAAAAATATAGTAATAGATTGGAATAACTATTTGCGGGAAGTTTGTGTTCTAAATATCAAGATGAGGAACCAAAGACAAATTGGAGGACGCGGTAAAATTATGGAAATCGATTAAAGCTTATTTTTCATTTTGAAGGTCGATATCGGAAAACCTTTACTTTTTATTATTATTATTATTATATTATTGTTTTCCGTATTCCTCTGCAAATTTGACACTTTAGCTTGTACCGTGTATAATACATCACACATAATTATTATGTTTTTAAATCTTTTAATTTTATTTTTTTTTCATATAATTTGAATATGCCATACCCACAACACATATTATTAAAAAAAATGATAAGCATGTAAGAAAAATAGGGTAGTCTCGAATTATTATCTCACATTGATATTAATGTACAAACTCACGTATTAAGAAAATCCAACTTTTTTCATGTTTCTCTTTCCAAAAATAATTATATTTCCACCCCGTTTTTCCCCAGTCTTTGGCTAACAGTATAATGGATTATGTTGATTTTTTTGCTACGTCGAGTTTTGTATCCAGACAAAATGTTTATCTGGCTTTAAATTTAAATTCTCTTGTTTAAATATTTTTATTATTATTTTATTCTTATTAATTTTTTTTTTATTTTTTTTGTGTAACCATTTATTATTAATTAATGATTTTTACTGTACTTTATATTTATTCTTTTTTGGCTGTTAACTATTTCCATTGTTACAAATAATTTTACATCATTATTGTGTCTAATTATATTATAAGATAAGTTACACTGTCCTTATATTTTTTCTAATTGCTAAAGGGTTTAATACCCGTTTATTATACATAAATAAATAAATAAATAAATAACAGGAAAGTACCACTTTTAGAAGTATAACAGAGGTAGTCTTGGGTGGTAGTCGTGGTAACAGCTGTAGTCTAGTACAACAAGAAAGTACCTAAATATTTTTTATATTATATGGTAGGAAAATTTTTAAAAGAAATGAAATAGCTGAATTTCAAACTTAACACTGAATAAATAAATTAATAATCGTCAATATTTGATGTAGCTTAACATTTAACATGTTAATTAAAAATATTTATCTAATTAATTTAATTAATTTACTTATTCAATAGTTCAAGATTAAATCATTCAGAGCTGGCCTCGGCAATTAACAATTCTCCTGCATATCTAAACCCATCTAGTGGTGCTATACCGAAACAAAAAAATATGAAGTCAAGCAATAACAGAAGAGTTATAAATGACTGTGAGTAGATTAACATTTCAGTTAAATATGAATACAAAAAATGAATGAATAGAATACATTCCATATTGTCTTATGTTCACAGTATCAAAGAAGAAACATAGAGATTCTGATTCATCAAGTGACTGAATGACATTCAGTTTCCTTTATTTTAAAATTCATATTTTTATTTTTAAGAAGACTACAACTAGTGAAATTTATGTAATCTTAAGTTTTAAAAGGTTTTGTCTTGACTTGTTTTAAACATATCCTAATATTTCGCTTTTGATAAGAATAAAAAAGTTATATAAAATAATAAAAATAAATTAAATTATTTGCATTTATTATATTTTAAATGAAGATATTATCTTCTCATATCCATGAGTTAACTTTTTTCTTGCTATGTTATAAAATATCGTATTTGTATTATTATTATTTATTAAATATTATATATATGACAAATGTGATAACTATTAGATAAGAAATTGGAAAATACATAGAATCGAACAAATTACAAAATATACTAGAATGTTTCCAAAAAGGTTGGCCAATAGGCCACCGCGGAATAACAATCGGAAAGATTAATTATGTGATATTCAATAGTAACTGAATAATTTGCATGATTAATAACTGTAATACATAACTGACACTCTGTTCAATTGTAATCTTTCGACCCTTTACACTGTAAATTTGATAAATAATAATAAGAAACCTACAAATAATACTACAAAATACAATGTAATGAGAAATCACAAAATATCACACTTGGTGCCTACAACTTTGTTAAAATCAAGGTCTATGATTTAACTAATTTGAGTTGTAAATGTTTCATATTATAAATAATAAACATATTATACTTAAACATTACTAATCGATTGTTGTAATTTTTAATAGGTTTAGGTTAACTACAAACAAAACATTAGTATTAACAAAAAACATTGGCAGAGATAAATTATTTAAATAGTCAATAGACGTTAGGAACAAGCTAAAACCAATTGGTGGACTGAATTCTTTTTTTTATTTATACACTTATATTATAACAATACAAATTACAAATCATTAAAATATTATTAAAATCGATTTTGAGCAGAGTCTTGCTTTTTAGAACCAAAGTTATCACACAATTATTTTAATTTTAAAATGTTAACAAATGTTTGTAATTTTTTTCTCACGATTATTTTTAAAAGTTCTGTAAAAGTTCTACATTTGTCCCAGCCAAGTCCAAACTAGTTTCAATGTGTTACCCGAAACCTCCCTTGAACTTGATGATCAAAGCATTCTATTAGAAAAAGTCTCTTAAGGCACAAAAATGAAAATAATAATTCATCATTGTAGAATCAATATATTCATCGCTCTGCTAAAAATTAATATATATTTTAATTATTAAATATAACTTTTGGATTTGTAAGCGTGTAATTTGTTTTAATTTTAAAGAGAGTTATGAATATTTATAAATTGTAAATTGTTTGTACAACATACAATACTCATAACTCTCTTTAAAATTAAAATATAATAATAAGCCTATAAAAAGCCCTCCGTAATAATCTTATCTTTAATTTTTAATAAGATGTCAAGTTACTCTAATTTTTAAGCTAATTGAGCTAAACGTGATCTGTTGAATGTATAATTTGATATGTTACCATCTTGTAAGACGGAGGCAACACATGTGGGTATAGAGTCCTCTTAATGCGAGATTTCTTTTTAACACCCAGCTTTCTGCATACTATCACTATGGTTGATAAACGTTGAATCAGTTTAATATTTGGGACATTTTTGATAACATTACAACATAACATACCAATATCAAACCATATCAATTTCAATACAAATTACGCCATATACCTGTATAAAAATTAATCACATAAATGTAGATATTTTTTATAGAGTTAATTTGTTTTTAATTTCTAGATTATCTTATATTAGTAATTACATAAATGATTTGAGGATACATCAATATAATAAATGAATATAACAAAAATACAATTTGAAATTAAGACAACGTTAAATTGTCAAATATTCATTTATCTATATTCTAATGACATGCATTTCATATACAAAAAATAAATTTTAAAAAGGGTGGTTAATATTCAATTTTTGCTTATAAATTAATACTTATTTATTAGTAATGTCATTATTTTCAAGTGTGCAATCACTTTTACGGTTGACATATAAACGGAATAACTGTAACCTCCATTGATCTAATACATTGACGAGTCTCATCGAATCTGACAATCCACTTGGTTTGACCGCAGCATGCAGAAAGTTATACATGTCTTCCAGTTTTTTTTCTTCTTTATATAAATCAAATACAAACACTACATGTTCTAACAATTGCACGACACTGGACAATACTTTCTTCGGAGTTTTTTTGAAATAATTTTTATCTACCACATCTTGTACAAACCTGAACAAAATTGTATTTAAGATTAGTACTCTTAGCTCTGATACTACCGTTTGATACATTTTAAACAAATTATTAGAATAGAAAAAGAAAATTAAGTAAAACTTCAATACTTTTAACCCATGTTTGGTTCAAAAAATATGTTTTGTAAGTTTGATAAATAATGGGTGCCTTTCCTAAATATATTATGGTAAATGCTGGATCCCGGGTCGCATGAAAAATTTAATAATTTAAGAGTTCAATCATGGGCCACTAAATCATGTTTAGAGGACTATTAGCTCACTATTGATTCGTTAAATGTTAGGTAAGTGATTATTCATGGGACCCGGCATAAGTCTAATATTTTCTTTATTATATTGTAATTGTTGAGTGATCCTAGTTTTGCATACTAGTGGCTTTTAAAATAAGAAAAAACAAAAAGTATTTTATTTTGATTAGCAATTTCAATTGTGACAAAGTTTTTATAAGCTGTGGTACTTGTTTGCTATCGCCCCTCCATAAATAAAATATATTATAGTATAATAAAATAAACAATAAAAAAATTAATATAAAAATGTACTATAATTATAAATTAAAAAAAAAAACTATAAATTTACAAAGGATGCCAGAACTCAGAAATATCTTTTAATATTGTTTCAAATGCATCATTTTTTCCGAGACGTGTTCTCCACATGAATTCTGCCAAATATGATTCCAGAAAATTTCTATAAGTTCCACGACGCTTTAAATTTCCCCATTTAGCAGATCCCCACAACCTCTCAATGTTTTGGGTGTGTGCCCCTGTGTCCGGGTCAACAAAATTATACACGTGGTTAACAGTATTATGTTTGAATCCTGCTTGCTGCAAATTATTGTAAGCTTTCCAACAATCCGACAATTATTGAGCCTGGTCTTATATATTTTTGTATTATAGGTAGCAATGTTTTCTCCGATCGATCAGGTACACTCACTATAAAACACGCTTTGGTTTCCCGATATATCCCAACGAAAATCCATTGCTGTGGCAGAATACGTCCAGCATTATTTTTCCTACGCTCAAATAACTATATGGCGGGGCGATAGCAAACAAGAGTGGCGGGAAGATAAATTTTTAACGTCGTCCTGGCGGGGTGATAACAAACAAGTACCGTGAGGGATTTATACATTTTATGAATAAGCCTTTAGCTAAAATTAATCATAAATAATACATACCATTCTTTGATGCTAGACGGAAATGTATCCTCATTGTCAGTTTTTCCTAACAGTGACTTAAATAGTTTGTATGTTATATAGGTATACATTTTTTTCATTATTGGTCCTTCCAAAGGTAGAAATAAATCAACTATCATATTTAATAAATCATCTTCATTGTGTTCTGAATACAATTCTTGAGCAAATGCTATGATAGCATGATCATTGTCTTCTTTCAACGCTGTGTTGATACAAGCAGTAAATAAACTTTGTAACACATTTATCATTAATTGTCCGCACATGTGAAAGTATATCATAACAGTATACTTAGCGATTGTTAGTAGTTCTTCAACACTATATTTCTTGTTATTTTTCAATATACAGTAAGATATGAAATTTATTACTAATTCAAAATTGTGCCGTCTAATGTTTTTATAATCTTTTATTTGATACTCCAGGGGTGGACCACTAGGTACAGTATCCAAATCAGCTCGCCATTTGCATAAAATATTTTGGACGTTCTGAAAAACATTTTTCATTCTGTTTTTAATAATAATTATCATAGCAAAAAAAATACAGTTATAACTATTTATTAAATAGACAATGTGAATTGAATTTATTATTTTTGAAACATACATCAAATCCTGGAGACCAATTTGCTCTCAACAAATGGTTAAAATGAATGTTGGCTTGAAGTTCATTTCCTTCAATTGACATAATATGTAAGCGTTGTACACACAATTTTTTGAAATCAGAGTCTGAGTTCTCTTTAAAGGGTATATTATAATTGGAGAAGTCATCAGGATCAAAATGGGTTGATACAAGAGGGAGTTTTTCATTGCTTTCGAAATCAATAGTCTGATTAAGTTGTTCTTGATACAATTTATCAATAACTTTCATCTCTTCCTCTTGTTTAGCAGTTTGTTCCAAAAGCTTTCCTTCTAATTGTCTTCTTTTCACGATTTCATTCATATCAAATTTAAAAACAGGTCTTTTAGGTTGTTTGGATGCAGTATTTTTTGATGTGTATGGTTTTTTGTTGTTCATGGTGTCTTTCTTTTTTCTAGGCATTCTAAAAGATAAAAAAAAATATTACTTATACTATTATTTAAAAATCAATTTTAAAGCATTGTGTAATCGTATACTATTGTGATAATTTTGTATTAACTATAATATAAATTATTAAGACATTTAGGTTATTGGTTGTGAAAAATTAATGTTAGTGAATAAAATAATATTCTAATTTATTTTTTATGTATATTATGCAGAACGCTATGCGTACCATACTAGCAAATAGTAACTGTCCAAACTAGCAGCCAATTAATTATTACACATATAAGGTCTGTTGGTGGAGAAACAGAAAACAAGTTTTAACCAACCATAGTAGATGAAATTTAATGGACAGTAATGTAATATCTAAAAGTTTAAATCATTATTATTTTCACCATTATTTTGTCATTATAGATTTATACAATGTGATTTTCTAAGAATATCACAATACTATTTGCAGAAATAATTGTGAAGACTGAAATTACATCCCAACGGCCAGTGTACATCACTGGCCAGGGATTTTCACAATTATTGATGAAATATAATATTAGCAACCGTAGTCCATGCCTACAATAATTGTACATATTAAAAAAAATTCGATAGAGTATAACTTGTTCCAGGAGAACCCATAGGCATTAAATGTGTATACACAAAAACAGATGAGATTCACTTCTTACTTGAGAATTTGATATTAGGTCAGATCACTCCACAGTTCACAAATATCTGTGGTTCACTTCTTTACTCAAATAGTTAAACATCAATTAATATAAACGTACAATGGACTATAATGCTGAGTGCCAACTAGTAACTAGAACTAACTACCCACTAGTGAGTATGGTAATTATTATGATATAAATTATAAACAATAATATTATTATCAAAAGAAATTGACAAAATACAGATATTATTTTATACAGCTATTTTTATAGTTACTCAACTCTTTAATATTTTTGTTGCTGGTGTTGACGGTATATTTTCGATTACGGCCTGTGAGCAGCGCGCCCACGCGTGTAAATCTTAGATCATATACTGCAACTGTCTACTGTTCACTGTTTACTGTCTATTATATAGTATATACTGCTATATTATGATGTAAGGTGTAAAATCGGTATCGGGACTCGAAATTTTAAAACATGTCCCGGCGCATTTACCATCCGACAGTCTTATCAAATATTAGATACATGATAACACGTTACCTTGATAACAAATTTGAATTTTACGTTATAAATAATTATTTTTTTTGTATTTTATTTACTTATACTTAATTTATTTCAAACAATGAAAGATTTAAATTATGAGGTATCCGTTTGAATATAATTAATATGTACTATATTATTTTATTTATAACAGTTTTTTTTGAGGACATTTAAATTTTACATGCTTAACATTTTTTTGTTGGTATTGTACGGTTTTTTTTTTCAATATTTATATCCCTCTGCTATTCAACATATTTATTGCGGACCAGACTACTTCCACTAATACATTTGTCGCAGAATACGCTGACGACAAAGCGATTATTTCAACTCATGAAAATCCATTCACTGCAGCTTCAAACATGTTCCAATCCCACCTCACTCAGTCACTCTAATTGAAACCTGGTGTAAGGACTAGAAAGTTAACGAATTTAAATCCTCCCACATAACTTTCAAACTTAAACAAGGCCTATGTCCTCAAATCACTTTCAACAACATCCAAATTCCCACCTCATTTACCACAAAATACCTTGGTGTTAACTTCGACAAAAGATTAATGTTGAATCACCATATCCACACTAGGTAGGTACCAAAATTAAGCTTAACACTCGCCTTCGTTCCCTTAACTACTTCTTAAACTCTAAATCCAAACTCTCAATCAGTACCAAGCTAATGCTTTACAAAAGTCTACTAGGTTAGTTTAAGTTAACCTAATACACAGCAGGGGCGGTTCCAGACACTTGGTTGGGGGGGGGGGGCTAGTGTTGTAATTTTCACAAAGCTTATAGCAACAAATATAAAACAACAATTTTTACAACTTTTATTATTTATTTTTAGAATAATAACAATACAATTCTTATCAATACAATATTCTTAGTATTTCCCCAAGTTATTTAGTATTCTCGTAGTCCACACAGATATTAGATGCATGTTACAACTCATACACCGACGTACCTCCAATAATTACATACTTTTACGCGGGTCTATAAAGTTGGGCGTCCACTAGGTCTGAGAGGTCGGTGCGGTGCTGCGCAATGCAGAGCGGAACCATAATAAAATGCCTGTAAACTAATATAGATCCGTCCACAAGAAGGTCGGCGCGTTGCGCCGAGCTGGCTTTTCGATCTAATAGACGCCCTGCTTAATAGTCGATACTATAATGTTTTTTTGTTAGTAATTTTTTGTTAGCAATATACAATTTTTTAGAAATACTGGTCCGCCCCTGATACACAGGAACCTTAAAATATAAATATTCAAAAAAAAAAAAACAGTACAATACCAACAAAAAAATGTTAAATATGTACAATTTAAATGTCTTCAAAATAAAACTGTTGAAATAATTTGAAAAGTTTTTGGGTCGTCAAAATTAGCCATTTAGAGGTCCTAAAAACTCTAAAAGGCCATACGCACATATAAGTGGAATGTTGAAATATTTTTAATATTTTTTCAATATTTTTAAAGTGTGTAAAATATAATATTATTTAAAACGGTACTTAAAAGTTTCTTAAAATTACACATAAATAATATTTTTAAATTAAAATAAAATAACTAAATTGTTATATTTTTTATCTAACTATCTAATTTAATCCAAATTTGAACATTGAATGCTTTTTTTTTTTATAAATTATGGCGTTTATTGAAAATTTACAATCTGTACATTATATACAATAAGTAAATGTGATATAAGAATAATATAAAATTACGTTGAGTGACATGAAGGAAGACTCGCAGTCGAGTTACCTTTTACAAAGAATTAAACAAAAAATTATTATGACTTATATAAATGTATTTTAATGGTTAAGCAGATCTCTGCACCATTTGCGTTTGAGACGTCTTGCGGGGTTGTCTGAGAGAGTTTTTGAGGCCAGTTGAGAGATGAGGTGGTTGTGGTTCGTGAGGAGTTTCCCATGAAATCTTTTATAGAAATTGGTGGCTGTGTCGTGGACGGTTTTGATTGGGAGGTCATCATGGAGTAATTTGTTCGTTACGTACCATGGAGCTTTGGCAGTGATACGTAGACAAATTGATTGGAATGCTTGGATCGTGTTTGCATTTGATTTTTTGGTTGGGCCCCATAGTACGATGCCGTAGGTCCATAAGGGTCGGAGGAGGCATTTGTATATAAGGATTTTGTTTTGAATGTTGGTGTTAGATCTTAGTAAAGGTCTAAGTAGGTGAAGTCTACTATTTAATTGTTTTCGTTTGTCCTTGAGATGAGGACCCCAAGTGAGTTTTAAAACATTGAATGCTTAAAAAAAATCTTGTGTATGCAACTTTAATATTTTAAAATAGCCATAAAAACAACTTACAAGTTATAAGGAATTTTGTTTTCAACCTTTTGACTAAGTGAACATTTTTTCATTGACATTTATAATCTTTTTATGTTTGTATTATAATTTTATTGCATTATAGAGTATTTTTTCTATTATTATATATTTTTTCCTTTATAAAAATTGTGGTTGTATTAATGAAAAAAGATTTTTAATTTTCTAACTAATTTGTAATAATAAAGATGTGTTTTAAAATAGCTTAAAATGAGTTTAAATATTTTGAAATTGCCATTGTGTGTAGACAATGATAATTTAAGTACCTGTGTAGGGAAAATTATGAGTTCCTACAGTTAACACTTTTTGAACAACAACACCCCTTTTGCTATTTTATGTAAAATATACATTCCATATGAATTTGAACTTCAAATGTTCATAAACTATTCTTGAGGATTTACTCTTAATTTTTGTTTCCAATTATTACAGCAAACACTATTTTGATCAAATAAAATCATTACAAAAATATTATTTATTTTGTAATACAATTTTGAACCACATGATTGTTTTATTTCAATTAAAAAAAATAAAATGAAAATGAAAAAAAAATAAGTAAAAAAAAAGATAAAATAAAACACAGACACCATTCACAAATAACAAATTGAATATACAATAGATTTTACCATATTAGATTTTATTTAAACGAAATTCTAATACTAATTACAGTAATTACACTATAGATGGTCGTCGGAACTGGTTATTCTTCTAGAGCGCCATCTAGGCAATCATGGCCATGCAACCGATCAGCTTGTGTGGTCCGATCGTTTTGAGGTATGAAGGGTTGACAGAAACGTGCGTTTGTGTCTCGAAGTGGTGGAAAATATTTCTTAAAAAATATTGCACTTCATGTTTGTTCAACGAATTTCTTAAAAATAATGGGAATGTGGTATAAGGCCTAAAGTGGCTTGTCACTTGGGGACATCACAATGAAAAATTCGTCATACCTCATATGTAACATTAAATATGACATAAACATTGGGTACCAACCTATTTGATTGTCATTTAATGCATGCTAAGGTGGCGAGGAAATCTGGAATGTTTAAAATATATCACCATTATATATTATTATTATGCCTATTTAGTATTTTATCAAATCGTTCAAATCAAATGTTTATGTTTTTTACTAGATAATGGATACTTATTCGAGTTTTTGTTAAAAGTACAAAGTGTGTGTTGTGCTCGTTATTGAGAAAATACTTCTCATCACGAATCGAATTTTTAGAAATGTTCAAGTGCAAAATCAAGTATGTCAAAAATTTAATTTCATATTTTTTTTTTTTTAGTCGCGATTTGCACCTTGCCCGTTACACACGTATGTTGTACGCTCCTATAATTGTTGCGTTCCGTTATCATTAATTCGTGTTCGAATTCGTCAAGTTTACTACCAAAAAATTCATAATCGCCTAGTTTATAATAATATTAACCTAAATGTGCAAGTGCGCCAATGCACGTCGTTTTTTCTTTAAAAAATGTTAAAATAAAAATTGTGCGTCTAAAACCAATCAATTACTGTTTATACAACAACATTCGCCGCGTATCGCTCCATCGTGCACGACGACCTTTACTCTCAAGATAATATGTCGCGGCCTCCTAATCTGCCATTGAAACAGAAAAACAAAAA